TACTTTAATAAAAATATACCTAAATAAAATACAGATACCACCGATTCAGCATTCTTTTATCTAGATACATGCATCTAAAGGTACTTTTATAAGAATCACACCATGATGTATTGATAACAATTGATTAAATTTAAAATTGGAAAAATATATTTCCAGACCCGACCCCTACCCGAAAAAAATATTTTCATACATCACCGAAAGCAAAAAATAATCAATTCCCTTACTCAATTCCCGGGATGAGGTGGTGGTTTGAGTGCGGCAAATCTTTGATAAAACAGATTCTCGTCCCTAATTTTTTGAAAGAGGTTTAATTTTTCTATCGAAATAGATTTGAGTAGAGAAGAGTGATGGGCATAAATGAAAGACTAAGAAGGATCTATGCATTTGTTATTTAGTTTATTTTTCGAGATTCGGCGACTGCCAAATACCCAAAATTTATTCGTTTTAATTAATAAAATATCGTTCAATGAAAAATGTAATTTTGAGAAGAAAAAAAATTTGCAGTTTTCATATAGTTATATAAGAAGAAATAAATTAAAAGGGTTTATATATTTTAGCATTATCTGTTTGGACGGATTGAATAATGGCTAAAATTTAAAGTGTATAAGTTAAAAATGATATTTAAAAGTAATTCAACATAAATTTAAGCAGCTGTACTACTTTCTTAAATGGAAGGAGGTGGAAAATAACAGTAGGGGACTTTATCATCCTTCTGGTATCTATGTGACATTGAAATAATATTGAGGAATAATGTCTGATTTTCCAGATTATGACAATTTTTTTGCCCTTATATTTTAGATTTGAATATCAACTTATTCATAATGTAGATGAACTAGAGTTAGTTTATTTAAAACTTAATTTTTGCAGCAAAAACGTTTTAATTATAAATTAATTTTTTTTTACAAATGATAAGAGTTATAGATATATTTTCAGAAAGTAAATGATTTTTTTTTAGCAACAATATAAAATGAATTAATTTTCTTCAAAAAATATGTAAATATAAATATGTTTCCCAGATTTTCATTTTTCAAAATAGATATTTAAAAATAACATTTTATTTGACCACAAAAAAAATAAAAATAAAAGATTATAAAAAAACATTATTATTATCACATAATAATATGAATATATATTTTTTTTTAAATATTTTATTTTATATTATAATATTTATTTTGTGTGACAAAATGTATATTTTATATTATTTTATATATATTACATAATATATATTAAAAAAATATATATTCATTTTATGGAAATTGTGGAAAGAATTTGCATTAATTTGCATATATGAATAAATAAATAATATAATATAAAAAAGAATAATGATTTGTTTAAATAATTGAATAAATGAAACCAAAAATATAATGATAAAAATATCTAAAATAAAATAAAATTTGAGATTGTTTGGAATGAGTATACATGAAATATATCTGTATATATATTTTTTTCCCCATTTTTTGAGATAAAAAATCAAATTAATTTTTTATATTTTTAAAATTAAAACATGATTTGTTTTAAAAAATTTATAATTGTTTTATAATTAAAATACTAAATGTTAATAACTTATGTTTAAAAAAATAAAATATATCAAATGAGATATTTATATAAATATATTTTTTTGGAACAAATTTAAACACATAGTTTCAACCAATATAGTATTATTATATTTCTTACATAATAATAAAAAAATATCAAGGTAATAATTTTATAATTTATTTGTTACTTACTTAATTAGTTAATACATATATTAGTCTTCTGAATGACAAGCATTTCAAGAAGATATACATATATATCAGTTATTATTTTTTAATATTTTGATTTACTAATAGGGCCCTTTACAGGACCGTTTCATTAAAAAAACACAGATTAAAGCAGTAGAAGTAGGGGAGTTAAAAAAAATAACTTTATCTTCTAACAGAAAATATTTTCGGGCTCTAAATGTTTTTACTTCCCCTTGGCCTTAACACATTAATTCGATTTAAATTCATACGTCGCGGTTTACTTTAAACTGATCCAAAAATAATAATAGAAATCAACTCTAGCCTAGATCTGGCATTATAAGGAACCCAAGGGGATCCAATAGAAATGGTAAACTTTTTGATCAGTTTTTAAATTCTCACATTATTATCTAAAGTTAATCACTATGAATATTTTATTATATTTAAATATACTCATATATTGTGAAAAGTTCTGTATACAAGATTCTAGGAATAATGTGTCTAACTTTATTTCTAAAATTATTCCTTTTAAATATTAAGGTTTTAAATGATTAAATCTAAAAACAATTAATTCATTGTTTTTTTTTAACTTAAGTATCAGTTCTTATTTCTTGCATAAGTTAATTTTCTTTTAATGATCGTTTGACATTTTTAAAATTATTTTAATATAAATTTAATTAATATTTTATACGGACATTTTAATTTAAAAATAATCTTTTAAAAAAATAAAAATTTTTAAAGTTAATTTTTTGACAAATTAATTTTATTATAATTTAAATTTAAATTAATTAATCCCTTTTTTAAATAAATTATATTTGCATATTTAATAATTTTTTAATTCGATTTAATTATTTTTATATAAAAAATTCAAAACTTTCACAAGTTTTAAATAAATTAATTTTTGAAAATTTATAAAATTTTCTTAGAAATATGTTTTGGACATGTTTTTATTTTTGTATTTAAAATAACTTATTTATTTCATTTTTATAAGGTTCGAAAGTTTGTGAATTTGAATTTTTTGATATTTTGGACACACAGCCTAAAATATATAATATTACGTAAATTTGATAAAAAAAAAAGAAGAAAAGACTTGTGTTTAGTGTTGTTATAAAAAGATTAAGATTATAACCAAAATAACTTTATGTAATCCTAAAGATTTTGCACATAGCTAGCAGAAATGCTTGGACATCTATTTGCAAGATCTCACTGCTTACATAACATTTATTTTAGCTGAAATTTTAATCGGGCCATTTTGAAAAATCTAATTTTAACAACACTACTTGCGTTAAATGTCTCAATTCGATGGAGTTTATTATGAAAAATGAAATTTAGTCCCCCCACCCCCAAAAAAAAATTACCTTTAAAATAAGCCGGGTTAATTAAATTTTTTCTAAATTAAAATCATATAATCATATTTTTATAAATTTTCACAATCTATGATACCTTTAATTAGTATACAATATTAAAGGGGGAAAAAAATGAGTATAAAGTACTCATGAAATATCTAAATAAAAAATTGGTACAAACGCACTTCCCCCACCCTTTCTACACTCATTATTATATTAAATATTTTTGTGGACACTTTTGCCCCCAAAAATGAGGAAACAAAAATTACTGCAGGTCTTAGGGTTGAATCTTAAATATAGATATTCGTAAAACACTTTACAGGATTTTAGATGCGGCATAATATGTGATATATAAAATAATATAGCCGGTTGAGTGTTATCTATACTCCCTAAAATTACACTAGAGGCCGGGATGGTATACCTCATGTTTCTATCCGACCTTTATGTTTGTTGTATTTGTAAAGGCTTGCACTATTGATGGAACCTTGATTTAATCCTTTATTGTTAAAGGGTGTACATCAGTTTTATTAGATCCTCACCACATATGAAGGAAATTTTGCTAACGATTAACTTGTTAACCCTTCTTAACTCTTAAGGCTTTTTAAAAACGCTATAAAATTGCCTTAAATATCTTTTATATTCGAATACAATTAAGAGTTTGGTCATCGGTTGTGGGAAATTGGTTAGGTTGGGTTGGTTGATATATTAGGATGCCTTTGAAATTATATATTCAATTAACTCGATAAAGATAAAATTTGTTTCAAAACAAAAAATAAATTAATTTATAAAATTATTTTTAAATACATTTTTTTTAAAAGATTGTTTTAAGTAATAATAATTTCATAATTTTATTCTATCTATTGATTTAATCTAATTTTTTTATTTTTCAAAAAATAAAATATAGTAATATTTTTTAATCAATCTATTTCCAAACTAGCTTACTTAATAAAAAAAAATCATGTAAAAAATGACATAATTTGAATATTTTTAACGATATTTAAAATTTAATAAATCATAATCCTATTTTTAAATTCAATATCAAAAAAAATAAGCCAATTTTTAAAAAATTTGACACTCAAATTTCATTAAAATTTTAAAACTTATGAAAGTTTATAAAGATTTAGGATTTATATTTAAAAGAAATAGTTTTAAATTATGAATAAAATATTAAATATTATATAATATTTGCTAGTTATTATTACTTTAACAATTCATCTGCGAAACTGAGTCACCACTCATTCATAGTTAGCGTGAATTCGCGGCGAATTTTACAAAAAATAGGCTCTATTTTTTGTGCATTTTTATATACTTCTTTACGAATTCTCGCTAACTGAGAATGCACCCCGCATTTCATCTTACATTATTATAAACTTTACATGTTTGAATGTTGAAACCAGAACCAATTTTTGGAACGCTCGGAATAGAGACTAATTTAGGGAATCGAAAATAAGAACTGCTCCTTTAAAATTTATAATAATTAGAAACCAGAAGTAAAACCTCCTTTTAAACATTTCCGTAACCGTCGGAAACCGGTTTTAAAAAATGTGAAAGTAGGTAATTTATACATATTAATTTAAAATCTTGCCTTGATTTCATTTTAAAGTGTTTACTTATTGTTTAAACACATTTCTGTGATTAATTCAACAGTGATTAAAATTGTAAACAGAAACCCTCAGAATTTCTCCAAAATTTTAAGCACTAAAATTGCAGCATGATCCCCCCCCCCTTTTTTTTAGTAGTATTCTGAAAATGAATCAGAGCTCTTTTTAATTTCCAGGTCTCTGATTACAATTAATTTGTTTCATATATCAAGAATTTCTATTTTTTTCCAAATTTATATTTCCATAAAGAACACTTCCGGTTGGCAAAAAAAAGTAACGATGACCAAAATTAAGGCCAAAAATTATAAATGTTTTTATTGTGACAAAGGATTTTATCATTACTGGCAGTTAAGAGATCACAATCTTATCAAACCTTGTGGGCCTTATACATGTCATTATTGTCGAAAAAATTTCTTGAGTTGCCATTCCCTGCAATCCCATCTCCTGTCATTCCATCTGTGCTTGTTTAGTGATGCGCAGGTGCCAATTAAAAGAGAAACAATGGGTTTTGATAAGATGCTAGACCCTGAAAAAAATCATTCAGATTATTCGACCGAATTAGATACTGGGAAAGATATCGCTTCAAATAATATGCTTATAACAGATAGGTTCAATGATAATTTGTCAGAAAACAGCCTTGAATTAATGACAAAAAGCCCGAAAAATTTACCCGATATTTCTACGATGGATCAAAAAAATTTTACTTACAGATGCAAAGTTTGTGCGGATAAGTTTCAAGATGAGGTGTCCTTAGATGTTCACACGAAATCCCACCCGCTAAAATTATACGCTTGCAATATATGCCTTAAAAACTTTTCCTCTATTTGGCAACTGAAGTAAAAAAAAAATAAAACATATTAAATTTGACCTTTTTCATATTTGTTTTTATAACAAAAAAAATTAGATCGCATAACAACGATGCCCATGTTTTCAGGACGGCCTATACGTGTGCATTATGTGGATGCAAATATAAAACATCTCTTTTCTTAAAACAACACATAAAATCGGATCATCCTAGGTATCGTTCATTAATCACAGTGAGATCTTCCAATATACATCCCACTATTGCTTCCCCAAGTATAAGAGAAAAAGAATCTAAGGACAATTTATCAGAGTCTAGCAACCTTGAACATCATTTTTACGGTTCTCCAAAATCAGTAGCAAGCATTTCCTTTGAACTGTTAAAAGGAGCGCGCGTAGTAAAACAATGCGTCACTTCATCGAATCTTCAATCAGAGCCTTGCTTGTCTAACTCCTCAATATATCCTTCGTTTCGTTCAAGATTAAATCTAGCACCTTCAAGACTATCTTTGCATAAATGTAAAAGCATCTTTAAGAATTCCGACAGGAGGACCATAGACTTTTTGAATCACATTCCACAAGTCAATAATTATTTTCCGTCATTTGAAGATAGCCATCTTGTCAAGAAAAAATGGTCGTCACCGCAAGATTTATATGGTTGTAACAATTTTATGATGAATATAGCTCGCAGGAGTAATGGGTATATTAATGGATGTCTCCACGGAGATGAATTACATTGCGATTCCGAAATTATTAGTGATGACCAGGGAGGCGCAACCGACGTTTTAAACAACTTGTTTATGAATAATTACTATATAGATTTTTTGCCAGAAGCTTCCCTATTAAAACATAATATTATGGCTCGTCATGAGAGGATCAGAATGACCAATGAACCATGTCATGGTAGGTCATTTAAACTTAGCAAAGATGCCGCATTGAGAAACAAGAGTAACTTGAAATCTCTGACTTCTGACGATTACACTAATAGCGAAATAATTTCAAGAGCCTGGGCCAGAGTTAAAAATGAAATATCTACCGAGTCTTTGTGTTACGGTATAAGTTTTGGAAATAATCACCAAAGACTGGGTCTAAATAGTCAAAAGGATGCTAAACTTATGGCTGGTCATATTCCTTTTACAAGTGAGAGTCTAATGGAAATTAAATGGGCACATCCAACTTCTATATGTAATTCAGCGGTATTTAACATAAACGGCGTTCAGGACGTGATTGATGCTAACATTGTTAACCGATCCAAAAACATTTTTGAACCACTTAGCCCGAAGAATTATGATGACAGCGCCATAAAGGTAAACTTAATGAATGAGGACAGGTTTTTTAAAAATCAGATCCATTATCAGAATGAAATCTTAAAAAATATATCCACTCCAATCAGCGTTAGAGGCACACTCAATAATCGCGCAAATGGGAAAAGTAAAATTTTTGAATGTTTTTACCTATTATTTTTAGTTTTAAGACCTTTTAAAAAGGGTTTCAATTAATTTACATATGTCATTTTATTATTTATTTAAAATGTTGCATCGAATTGATATTTGATTGAATCAGGTCGGCTTACATAAAATGGGTTAAAAATAAACAATTCAATTTTAGCTAGAGGTTTGGTGTCATCAAAAAAAAAAGAATGAGTAAGGAGGGGGGGGGGGGGGGGTAAGGGAGTGGTAGGAGCTACTTGCTTCCATATATTTTTTTACAGGATTGGTAAGCCACGAAAATGTTTGTGAGAGTGAGGGGAAGGGGTAATCTGCGAGTTATTTTAGGCAAAATTAGTGTTGTTTAAATGATTAGATTCCATTTTAAAAGATTTTAGATAAAATTATATGACTCAAACCTCGAGATTTTACTTAATAGATGTCCAAATCTTTATGATATCCATGAGCCAAATCTCCAGGCTTGTGTAATCATTTTATTTGAAAATTTTGGGTCAGCCATTTTTAAAAATCGAACCGTTTAAATAGCTCTAGATAAAATCTAGAATATATAATCTATATTTTTTTTATTTCGCAGACACGTGATATTTTTTTTTCTACAATCGTAATGGCCGGTGTCCTATTATTTTTTTTAAAAAATATTGGGCCAGCCATTTTTAAAAATCGAACAAGCTCTAGACATCTAGAATATATAATCCATATTTTTTCTTTTTCGCAGACACGTGATATATTTTTTCCACAATCGTAATGGTTGGTGTCCTCGAAATTAAAAATAAATAAATAATAATAATAGGAATTATACCAATTCCTAATTCGTTCACATTCGCATTTTTATGTGATTTCTAATTTGTAAACTCAAATTTTTGTTAGTCATCTCAAAGCCAAAAGCTACCTTCCTCAATTCAGATACCAAATATAATACCTCTTTCCCGCCCAGTATATGCCCGGAATGCGGAGCTAAGCTGAAGAACAAATCTAGTCTCAAATTCCATTTGCAAAGGCAGCATCCAAAAGGAGAGCTTTTCAACTGCCCCATGTGCCCTAAATCATTTGGCAAACAATGGATGCTGAGGAATCACCTGATGACGCATAAGGATAAATATCCGTGTTCCTATTGCGGTTAGACATTTTAATTTATTTCATAACCTAAACTTTTAATGAGTTTGATATCTTTGATAATGCAAGCTAGTGGTGATATAAAAGTCGGCGTATAATTTAAGTGCTCTACGTTTTTTCATTTTTAAGTTAATAAAAATTAACCAGGCACAACATTGCTATAGTTAGAATTTTTCTAGGAGGGGGGAGGGGGTGGGTGCCTTTTCTCCATAAATTTTATTGGGCGGCTTAGGTCACCAGCTTTTTGAAAGCCCTCGGTCGAATAACATTTTTTAAAAAATATTAAAATTTCTTTTTACTTATTTTTTATGGAAATAGAAGAATGGGTGGGGGGGGGGAGGGGGGGGGGGGAATTAACGATTTGGGCCCAAAATCAAGAATTTTAATAAAAATTTTGGGTCCATGTTAAAACAATCAAAATTTGATTGACACCTATGGATTTGGGTAAGATTTTGTCTAGAAAACGCGTTGTTCACATATAACATCCTAGCTCTTATATTAGTGCCAAAAATTTAATTTCAATTTAACCGATTTTATTTTAATAAGAGATTAAATCAAGCTTTTAGCCCTAAAAAATATCCCTCAACTTTAAATAAATTTCATTCCAATCTATATATAATTATGTTTTCCAATAGATATAACATGTAATTAATCGTTTATATACTATTAAAAATGTATTTATAATAATATTAAAGAATACACAGGACCTTAATAAAAAAAAAACATTTTAAATAATATTAAAACAACTAATTACATATCAAAAACCGTTGCTGGATCACTTGGTTAACTCTTGGTTTAAAAACGCTAGAAAGAAAGAAAGAAAGAAAGAAAGAAAGAAAGAAAGAAAGAAAGAAAGAAAGAAAGGAAGGAAGGAAGGAAGGAAGGAAGGAAGGAAGGAAGGAAGGAAGGAAGGAAGGAAGGAAGGAAGGAAGGAAGGAAGGAAGGAAGGAAGGAAGGAAGGAAGGAAGGAAGGAAGGAAGGAAGGAAGGAAGGAAGGAAGGAAGGAAGGAAGGAAGGAAGGAAGGAAGGAAGGAAGGAAGGAAGGAAGGAAGGAAGGAAGGAAGGAAGGAAGGAAGGAAGGAAGGAAGGAAGGAAGGAAGGAAGGAAGGAAGGAAGGAAGGAAGGAAGGAAGGAAGGAAGGAAGGAAGGAAGGAAGGAAGGAAAGAAAGAAAGAAAGAAAGAAAGAAAGAAAGAAAGAAAGAAAGAAAGAAAGAAAGAAAGAAAGAAAGAAAGAAAGAAAGAAAGAAAGAAAGAAAGAAAGAAAGAAAGAAAGAAAGAAAGAAAGAAAGAAAGAAAGAAAGAAAGAAAGAAAGAAAGAAAGAAAGAAAGAAAGAAAAAAAGAAAGTAAATTTAAGGCCCTGCCCGTAATATTTTGCCCAAATTTTGTCCGGTCCGACCCGAAATACTTTTAGAAAATTTTGTCGGCCAGAAATTATTTTTTTTATAAAAAAAAATATCTAATTTATAATATTCATTTATATTTAAAAAAGGCAAAAACTTGAAAAATAAATTCGATCTTCAACAACACATCGCTTTATTCCACGAGAAAAAATTATGATTATATTATGTTTATTATAAATATATAATATATATTGTCCAATATATTAAATACAGTGTAATATTAGCTTGTCTTCCAAAAAAAAAACTTATTTTATAAAAAAAATAATATATATATAACTGTAATCATTATAATATATTTTAATAAACTAAATTAAATATGACAATAAATAATAGAGTATAAAATAATTTTTGATGCATATATCATGTTTGTTTGGAGTGAACTAAATTATTGTGATATGAAGTTTGTGCACAAATAAAAAAAAAGTTGAATTGAAACTAAAGTTTAATGGTTTGACTAATCGTATAACATATAATATTATAATAAGAATACATGTTAATCCATCTACCTTCAACCATCAAAAGTCATAAATTAGATTCTATAAATTTTTAAGTTTAGGAAAAACATACTCAATCCCTTGTGGATAAAAATTTGGAAATTGTAATATATTTAAACATTATTTAACTTCTATATATTGCAATTTAAATATTTAAAATTTTTGAGTTGGAATATTCTTTGAGTGAAAAAAACAACAAAAGGTTTACTCTAAAGAAAAATTGCGCGGCAAATCCTAATCGCTGTCACTTTGACTGTCACTCTCGCTGAGTTTCAAATCGTCATCTATATTTAAATTTATGTTTGTTTAATGAAAAATTTAGCGTGTTTTCTATACTAAAAGATCAAATCAGAGTTAAAACGGGAACCCTCGGAACAGCGCCAAATTTAAGAACCGGAAACAGAACCCACTTTTAAAAAATTTTTAAAAATAGAAACCGGAAAAAATTAGATTTTTTTAACCTAAATCGACAGCGTGTCTCTTCCCAACTCCACTAGGAACGTGATGAGACTTGGGCGTTGTTTGGCTATTTTTACTAGTCGCGATGGTAGGATTAACGACGGTCTTTTCTTTACTTTTATCGCGTTTACCCAAAAAATTTCCGACATTATCTTTGGCGTTAGAATAAACGTTGACGTTGTTGGATTCTTTCGTGTGATTACTTTGATCGTCTTTATTTTGAATATTTCGACAATTTTTTTCGGTATCGTGTGTGGGAGTCGATTTATCTGAATTTTTCTTGGGTCTCAGATCATTTTTTTGATCCGAAGAAGATTCCGATGAAGAAGAGGAATGATAGGAACGCGAATTAGTGCTTTTGGAGGTTTTAGAGGTTTTCGAGCTTTTGCCGGAAGAATTAGAAGAGGAACGGGAAGTGCGGGAATTACGAGAAGAGGCGGAAGAGCTGCGAGAGCTGGCGGAAGAGGGCGCAACCAATTTTGGAGACGTTGCAGGAGTGGGCTTGTTAGTATCTTAGGGGTGGGAAAATTGAATAGATGTATAAGACATTATTATATATATATAGCTACATGGTTGAATTATATATAAGTAAAAAAAAATGACGATAGCTGACTTCAGGAAAAAAGAAAGTATAAAGGTTATATAAAATTTTAAGATTATCCGAAAAATATTTTATAAGCATCTAATCCCAATTTTAATGTACCTTGGTGAACTAAAGTATGGTCTCTTTTATCTAGACTAGACTTGAGCAATTCAGAGGCCGACGCTTCGTTGTTCTTCATCTTCTTGCCGCTTTCACCTTCCTTTCTTCGTGGATGCGATAGGGGAGCTGTAACACATTTGGCGTCTCTCTTATTAGCATTAGCAGTTTCTGAGTCATTTTCGTCTGAATCGGTGGTGGCGGATAGTCTGTAATTCCTTTTATAATTGTTTACAACCTCTTGCGAGTTATTTGTTATTGCCGCGTTATTTTTACTGATTTGCGAGTTAACGGAATTATTGTTACTAAGGGAAACGCAGATTGGCTCATTCAGAACGTCTATTTTAACGTTAGATGACTTGTTGGTAACGAGGCTGTCGACCGTTAAATTGGTTGGTGAGGACTTCGGTTTTAGGGCAGGCGGGCCTGCATTTAGTAATACGGCAGGCGGTGAGATGATGTTAGCGGTTGGGGGAACCACGGGCTCGACGTTAATATTTTTAAGTTTTGAACTATTAAGTTGGGCTGTTGCGTTGCCGTTAGAGTTGAGGGGAGGCGCTGATTTCGGGCCCAGTGTATTCGTTGGTCTTCATTCGTAATTATCATTATTAAAGTTTAATAATTTTATTATTGTGAAAGGGTGAGAGAGAGAGAGTAAACCAAACCCCTTTTAAATGCTTAAAAATAGTTTATCTAATATATGCAACTCCTTCCTTCTTACAAACTTTTAGTCAATAAATAGGGTCGCCGTTAGGGGTTAGGGTTAAATTTTCAAAAATAATAAATTCGAATACATTATATAAAACTCAAAAAAAAGAGTGTTTAAATATAATATAATTACTAAATATACCTATTTAATAAAAAAAAAAAAATTTGAAATAGTATTTAGATACAAATACTTTTATTTGCGAGTCAATTTTTATAGTACCACTAATCAATTCCCTTTAAGTAGGTAATATATTTATTATTAACCATATTCGTGGTGAAATTCTAATAATTATGTAAATAACGACATATCGAAAAAAAAATTTGAAAAATAGTATTTCGATACAAATACTTTTATTTGCGAGTCAATTTTTATAGTACCACTAATCAATTCTCTTTAAGTATGTAATATATTTATTATTAACCATATTCGTGGTGAAATTCTAATAATTATGTAAATAACGACATATCGAAAAAAAAATTTGAAAAATAGTATTTAGATACAAATACTTTTATTTGCGAGTCAATTTTTATAGTACCACTAATCAATTCTCTTTAAGTAGGTAATATATTTATTATTAACCATATTCGTGGTGAAATTCTAATAATTATGTAAATAACGACATATCGAAAAAAAAAATTGAAAAATAGTATTTCGATACAAATACTTTTATTTGCGAGTCAATTTTTATAGTACCACTAATCAATTCTCTTTAAGTATGTAATATATTTATTATTAACCATATTCGTGGTGAAATTCTAATAAATATGTAAATAACGACATATCGAAAAAAAAAATTTTTTCCTCAAGATGATGGATTAATGATAGTAAATTTTTTATTTTCTAGTTGAAAATCAAAAAAAAAATATGGTTCAAATTTAACTAACTCGGGAGAAATGAAAGGCGATCATTAAAGATAAAAAATAAAAACATATAGTTTAAATTATTCCAAATTTTTTACTATTCTTACTTTTACGCCGCAGTCATAGTTAGCGAGAAAATATACCGTATTTTTGTGCATTTTCATTTTTATATACTTGGCCGCAAATTCGTGATAACTGTGAATAATACGGATTTACGCGTTTTATCAAGCAATGTTTGCTATTGATAAAAAAAATCGGGGGGGCGTATAAATTTGTTCCCGCAATTAATCTGACTAAATATTATTTATCGGATTTCTGATTAATATTCATTAATTAATAATCTTATAAATGTTTTAAAAATAAAATATGTAGAATCAAAATAATAAACTTGTTTGAAAAAAGAAAAAGGTTATGCAGGGTAACAAATGTTTGGGAATAATTTTTGAAAGTATTTTGTAATTTTTATTGTATCTAAGATATTTTCGTGTAGTGTAGAGGGGGGGGTTGAAGCCTCCTGAAAAACTTTGGACAATCTCCTTGAAAAAAGAATAATAGTCTTGAGTGTTGATGGAAAGGTAACGCTTTGAGATTGGCCTACAAAAAAACGAATCAAATTATTCAACTATTCGCATTCGAATAGTCGGGTTATTCGTATGAATCGAATAATTCATTATTCGTATTCGAGAATTGAATTTTTTTAAAGATTGTAAATAAAAAATAGTAATAGATATGGGTGTGACAGTGATATGTTTTAATGACACTTTTTAAGTATTCTACTAAAACTAAACTAATTTGTAATTCATGCATATATCAAAATTTACAAAAAATAACAATCGAAACAAAATTCAACTGTTGTAAATTGTGTATTTTTACATATTATATATACATATATATATATATGTATAACTTTATATAATATCTAATGTCAATAAAGTAATGTTTATATGTAGATTAGTAGATTATATATTTAATTATATATAATATCTTACGACAATATTATATATTATATGCATGTAAGACATCAAGAGATTGACAATCACTATGAATATTATGACGGTGATCATCTGAAAACCAACTCCTTTGTTGTTTACAAGTTAAATTTATTTTGTTATACATATATAATTGAGTTGATAAACAAAATATATATGGAAATTGGAGTTACAAACAAAATCTCGCCAAGAAACATGCCTGATTTTTAGGAAAAGTGCTAATAAAAAAATGTTTATCTACGACTTTTATACGCGTTATTTCTTCCTAATTACAATAAAAGTTGTTCAAATTCTTTTAATGACGGGCCCAGCTGATTTTCATTCAACGACGCCTTCAAATGCATCATTATGTATGCATCGTCAGTCTAGATATTTTTATATGTCATTGATATATCTCGAAAAATTTGAAGTCCCAAATTTTAACATTTTCTGAGATATAAATAACTGTTTATAATTGTTGGATATTTTTTTCCCATCTAACTAAGACAAATATTATTTTTCTATTATTCATATTCGATTTGAATAATTATGCAATCGTATGAGTAGAAGAATAATTCGTTTTAGGCCTACTTTGAGGTAAATGTGGGGTTGAACCCAAGGATCCTTCTGGAGTTCATTACTGTAGTAATGAGGTTACCAGATATAATCATGGTAGCACAGAAAAAAACATAATTTGAATAGGTGCTGCCATGCAAAACCCTTATTAGAAGAGTTAGCTACGATTTTTGCATTTATCAAAAAATCGCCCGAACTAGAATCCCTGTAAGAACAGGTCTGGCAGTCTCAGGCATAAATTAAAAATTATTTTGTTTCTTTAAAAAAAATGGCGAAGGCTTCTATTTTAAATTTGGCCTGGTATGAAGTTGATAAAAAAAAATTCCACATTTTCAAATCAAGAACAGCTGGAATTCAAATTTTAAAAAAATCTTTTTCAAACATGGCTTGTCCCGCATAATGCAGGCACCATATAATATGACCCACGAGGGTATCTTCCCCATTATATCTATTAATACTCAAGGTCTGTCCCTTTATTTTTATACTCCTTTCACGTTAAATACGTCTGCCCAGTATCTATAAATCAAAATTAATAACACAATTACAGTAAATAGTACCTATTATATTATATTGTATATTCCTACTGACCCGAGATTATTTTTGGGAAAATTTTTTGTATTAGCCCTGATTTCTAAAATTTTATTATCTTGATTAATTTAGGCTCTATCTATATACAAATCGTTCCAAGAGGAATTTGTAAATATGAGCAATATAAATGAATACACCCCAATTATAGGATTTTCAACATTTTCTCTCCCACTGATTAATTGATTAATTTCCTTAAAAAAATATTAAAATCGGTCTGGCACAGATTTTTAATGCGCAGCCAGAGCCAGATCATGATTTTAAAAGTCATATCATTTTTTGACCTGTTCCCAGTCAAGCCTGCAGATCTTTGATTTTTTTACCATTTTCATTTTTTTTTAAATAATACTTTTCTGGCAAAGCCTAGCAATTCAAATATAAGATCTACCCCTCTAAATAATTAATTATTTTTATTATCTTATTTTAAAAATACAATGATTTTTTTAGGCAAAGTTTATTTTATATTCCATCGAATTTCATTTTTAAAAAGTAATATAATAAATATATTCTTCATATATATAAACAATTGTTAAAATTATTTCCAAAACTTTGGATTGTAATTTGAGTTAAAAATTTATAAAAGAGAATGAATAATATAGAAGATTAGATTGTTGAATATAGATTAAATTTATTTCTACATCATTTGTCATTAATAACTACTATAACTATAAATGATTTAAAATATAAAATAATGAAAAATATGGTAAAAAAATAATAATAATACTGTTTTATAAAAGGTAGAAATTTATATTATAAATTAAGACAAGCTCATATTTCTCATAATCTTTTAGGATTATTCCCCATTAATTACAAAATTTAATCAGCTGACTCTTTTTTTAAATGAATCTGGACAAAATATGGAAAAAATTAAAGAATACAATTTTAGGAGTTAAGTGGGATTTAGACCTAATTCTTACCAGACAATAAATATACAAAAATAGATTTGTTCGGGCTGAGCTGTGAAAAACAGAAGGCATGCAAAAAGATAGCCAATATTCCTCCAATAATCTATGAGAGAATGGGAAGATACCTCAAAGTAGCACACTATTAGGAAAATCAAGAGTGTCTGTACTGAATATTTAAAAAATGGTGGACCAAACCCCATACAGAACCTGGCCATGGCAAAGCCAAATAATGACTTTTTTTTAAAAAGATATAGCTAATAATTTAAATTTAATAACTTGTTTAAGTAATATATTTAAAAATATAATACCTTATTTTCTTAAGTTGGATTGCTGTTGATAATTTTTCAATTGTGATTTCACCAGTTTCATGGTCAATAATTAACAAGCATTCCTTAGGTATCGATTTTTGAGAACCACAATAAGTTGTATGGGTCTTAATTGCACCCTGTAAAAAAATCAAAATAATAATTATTTATAAATTTAAATATATAATACATTCATCATAAATAATTTTTAAAATGAAAAATAAAATTTATCTTTTTAATGCTCTTAAAATTAAGGTGGAATAATATGTTAAATTTTTACATCAATATTTGGCAACACAGCAGTGACTCTATTTCCATTTTCAATTTTCATTTGTCCTATACCAGTATCTTCAATTGAAGCAGGCTTAAAGTCATCTTTAAAATAAAATTATGAAAAAAACATATCATTACTTACAGCGAATAGTATGAAATGAAGAATCTGAACTATTGTTAAAACTTTTCCCTACTTTAAGATCCTTAAAATCATCTAATACTTGCATATCAGCTATCTAGAAAAAATAAATAAAATCAGCAGTTTGAATTAATGAATGAATATTTATAGTAGCCGGTTAGAAAATATATTAAGGAATTTTGATAATTATTTCCAATAATTATCTTCTTTTTATTAAAAATTTAATGTTTTAGCAAACGATATTATTATTTTTTTGGAATTAATATTATCTTTAAATATAAACTAATAAATTTATTTATGATAAAACTATAATATTTTTCATAGTAAAAATAGAACATTTTCAAATTAACAAAAACGGTTAATTAAAATTTAAAAAAATACAAAGTATTTACCTATTTATGATATGTAATATAAATATAGTTAGTAAACGATAATGAATTAGAAATAAATCATAACAAAAAGGCAATATTGAACATAAATAATAAAATAAATAATACAAAATAAATAAAAGCGAAATGGTATTAAAAAAATTTTTTAATTTTGACGGGGGTCTCTAAATTTTTTAGGGCGGTCGAGCCCCTGCTTTTCCCATGACGCTAGAGCTCAGGCTTTAAAAAAGAAGGTCCATAGCCGGGAATTTTTAGTTAAAGTGGCAAGCTGTTTAATTTTGTGGCCGATTTTTTTGAAAAAAATAAATAGATACTATTAAAAATTTGTATATACAAAATAATTTTGAATATCAGAAATAATATTATTTATAAATTTCAACATATATAGCCAGGTTTTATGTTATTTTTATGATAAATCATTAGCATCAAAGTTTGTTTTCGTTCATCTTTCATGGATTATGTGATGCTCGATAAGACCCATTTTTACAGTAGAGATTGAGACTTTGCGAGACACTGTTAATGTCTCAATAATAGGTGCCGCTGAATTTATATAATTCTTGATAAACTTTGGGTTATCATATTTTTATAAGAAGAATTGTAAAAAATTTCACATCTAAATAAATTCATAGAAAGCATAAAAGAATCTCAAGAAATAAAATTAAATATCTACAAATAAATATGAATATTAATACATGTATAATAAAATATAAATATCTCATAAATATTTCATTTCATTATATGATGAAGAACCTATTTATCTTTTGGATTAAACAAATTATATAATTATATACTCAGTCATATATTTTGTTATTTATGCAATTGGGTTTCTGCCATTTTATTCCTCCATTTTCACAATAGGATATATATATATATGGATAAATGTATACATAAAAATATTAGGAAGTTTATCGTACATGATTATTAAACTCATCATACATTATAAAACATATAATAAAATATCCATATATTTAATCATTAGTAACTGACAAATATAACACATAATATATAAATAAAATATTACAATAAATTACTTCTTTACTACAGTTATATAATAGGAATATTAAAAAATTTAAATGTTATGTAGTAATATGTTTAAATTTTATAACACGCACTCATATCATCTACATGAGAAGATTTTCACTGGATGCAAACCCTCTTCAAAAATCTTTGCCTATTCCCCTTAAAAAATCATACCGCCTTCGGCGGCGGTGTCTTCCTATTATTATTTTTACCTTTTTAATTTATTTATACTCTTTTCAGAGATTTTATAAAGGATAACTTAAATTAACTATCTATACTACCAACTATCAATATTTTGTGAATATAAAGAATTTATTTTTTAGATAATAAATTCAATTAAAACCTCCTTTATTTACAATGAATTAATTATTATGGCATTATAAGCTTGCTGAAATATCTAAACTTTTTAAATTACATTTAAAAGGATAGCAGAAAGTTTTATTTGGAAAACAATGTGAATGATTGTTTTCAATATATAGATTAGTCGATGAATTGTATTATAATAATTCCATGATAAAAGTATTAATTTTTACAGCAATAGATTTTGTCTTATTTCATCTCAAAATTTAATAGATAACCCCCCAAAAATGTTTCTTACCCCTATTAACGCAGCCTACCCCCTACCCCCCTCAAAAAAGGGATGCGAAATGTTCCTACCCTTCCCGCTCATGTAGACGCTGCGCAATCATTAAAATATAAAAGTTATTTCTAAATTTTAATTTTTTATAAGTTTTTTTCAATCGAAATCAAAAATAGATTTTAAATTTTTTTTTACATTAAACCATAATGTTATGCATCAGTGGTATGTTTATAATTAATGTGCGTCACAGCTAAGTAAGGATTTATAAATTACTTTGCATGATTAAAGTATCCTTCACAATCTGGAACTGATATCTATAGATATAAATGGGAAAAAATTATATCTTTTTTTATATAATTTAAAAAATAATAAATAATTTTTTTATATTAGTCTTAATATTAAAATAATATATATTTATTTAAATTATATGCTCATATATATGAGATAAAATTTGCACTTAAATATTTTTATTTTTTAGATAAAATATCGTTAAATAGTATATCACAATGTATATTAAAAGTATCTATAAACGGATACAGATACCTTTGAAATAATACAGAGATATAGATGCAGATACTTAATATTAGTGAATTTTCAATAATATAATTACAACAATAATTACTGCTTTAAAAAAAGAAAAAATATTTTATTTAGAAAAGTTGTGGAAAAAAATATAATGCAAAAAAATTTTTTTTTTATTTATTAAAAATAAGCATCCTAATGCTTATTACATAATACATTCGCATCATTGTCTCTTTATTTATTAAAAAATATAAGCAATCATTGGCGTAGCTAGGAATTTTCCTTAGAGGGGGTCCATACATATAAAAGCCTGGGGCTTGCCCCCCAGACCCCTTTTAACTGGCCTTCGGCCCTTTTACCCAATGCATCAATAATATGTTATTATAATTTAGTAGATTATTCTCAATGACTTTATAATAATACCACCCAGAATAATTTCAATAGTAATATAATATCCTTTCACAAACATCAAAACCAAAAAATATATATATTAATGGTATTTATTTGATACAAAGTCACTTTTAAGTCTTTTGAACGTATAATCTAAAAAAAAATTTTGCTCTGGGAGGGGTCCAAACCCGAAAACTACCCCTGTAGCTACGCCATTGTAAGCAATATTAAATTTGCTTCCCTTATATATATTTTATAACGTAGTAAATTTAAATTTTTTAACGTAAGAAAAGTGATAGTTATTTTTTTTAAGGTAGTAAAAATAATAATTCTTCTTAGCATATTAAAAATAATATTAATAATTTTGACGTTATAAAAATTATAATATTTCAACGAAGTCAGATTAGTTTTTTAACATATTATAGAGATTATATTAAATTTTATTAATTTTGTAGGAAATATTTTAAGGGAAGCTATGCTTCCCTTGCTTTTATGGAAACTTCGTCAAGGATTTTACTATTGTGAGGGTGGAGGGTTCAATCAAGATAGTGCAATCGGGAATTTTAAGGATAAGGACGGACTCGACTTTAGTTGTAATAACGCATTAACCATAGTCATGACTCTATCTTAAAAATATATTTTTTTTTATAGATATGGTATGTTGATATTTATAATCAAAAATTTATTTTATTTTAATAATTTTTTATATTGAATTTAAAAATATATGTATAAATTATGCATATTAAAATAATTCCTAAAATTAAATATATCTTCTAAAATATTAAAGAGATATTCAGTTTATACACGATATATTTGTAAAATACTTTAGCATATCTTAGAAAAAACGATTTTTCTAGCCTACATAAGTTTTATTTAGACCATATTATTTGGTTTAACAGAAAAGCTACAGATTCAATGTGTTATAATATATATAATAATTTAAATAATAATAAACCTTATCTTACAAATAATTATAAATATGAATTAAATTCAATAATTATTAATATTCTTCATTTTAATCTTAACTTGTTTTGATATATTTTTGAATTGGTTGCGCCAATTTTAATATTTAAGACATTAATTATTTTTACCTTATTTCTTTATATAAATTTTCTTTAGTGATTAATCTACACTTTGTTTTATTTTCTTGACAAAGTTTTATTTTCTAATTCGAAATTTTAATTTCTAGGACACAAATATAATAATGCCAGTTTTTAGCAATTTTTACCCCTTTTATACGGTTACTAATAATACAATATAAATCAAGATAATATTGATATATATTGCTATAAAATAATATAGCAAAACTTACCATAAGTCTTATAATCAATAACCAAATTCTCGCACAATTGTTACAGAACAAAATTATTGCGCGTAAACTAAAATATAATAAAATTTAAAGAACCAACTCATGACAATAATAATAAATAATCCTAAAATTAGACAAAATTTAAATAATTAAAACAAAAGATTTTTAAAATCAATAAACACATCTTAGAAAAATAATACTCTTAAGCGTTTTTTCTATTTTGCTGTATATGACGATGACACAATCAGCCTGTTAAGATTATCAATAGTTATAAGGTTTACCAAAATACCATTATAAAAAAGTTTAAGTTCTTTTTTAAAATTCCTGGGAGGATAAATTTTATACCGGCGATGGCACTACATGCCCCCATGTTCTTCCAAACTACAATCCTAAAGATTGCCTAAATATATTACAGAAAATATTTTATAAGTGTCGTTATGAAGTCATGATGATATCATATAAAGATGATTAGAAGTTAAGATGACGATCGCAAAGTTATGATATAGATCACATTTTAATTATTTAGTAATCGATAATTTCTTAAAAAAATGAATTCCATTCCAATATATATCTTAATCTGAATTGTTTAGTTAATAAAAAATCAAAATCAGGAGCATCATTAGTCTTTATAGCCTCAAGGAGTTCAAAAATTATTTTCAAAATGACCCTTTATTTAAAAATTTTGAGGGGCCTGTTTAGATTTTTTAGGGACTAGAGGCCCTTCACGTCCCCACGTAGACCCTTATGCGTATAATCATTTGCTTTCCTAGACCACTCCTTTTGCGGATAGTATATTTTGAGATCATCATTTATATTTACTTTGTGTTTACATAGATGCAGACCCTCCTCAAAAAACCTATGCTTCCCCCTAAAAAGTTTTTGCCGTCTTCGGCGTCGATATGTTCACATTATTAATTTTACCTTTTTATTTATAATGGTACTCCCTGTTGTATTTGTTAGTATAAATTAAAAGATTATAGATTTATTTATGTATTCAAATTTTTTTTTGTTTATATAAATCTTGAAGTTAATTGCAATAAGGCAATATTTTTATTATATAAATTTTGAAGTTAATTGAAATAGACAATATTTTTATTTTAAAAATATTTTTTTTTATTTATATATATTTTGAAGTTAATTGTAATCAGACGATATTTTGATTTTAAAAATAATTTTTATAAATTTTCAGTAATTATTTAAAGTTTATAAAAATTGAAATTTAAATTCTTATATGATGTGAATTTCATATAAATAAACAATTTGAATTCAAGATCACTTGTTAATTTTTACTTTTAAAATTTTTTATATTAGCTTAATTTAATAATAAAGTTATATCCATTATATACACGATTTAATATCTAACTATACACACAAATTAGAAAACTCCCTTCTTAAATTAAAAAAAAATTAACTTGTTATTTTAGCTTTACTCTCTACTATCAAAATATTGTGAATAAAAAGTTATTTTTAAATCACGTATTCAATTAAAAATTTACTCATTTACAATGAATGCATTATTATAGAATATTGTTTGGCATGATGAGTGTGTTGAGAATGTTTAACCCTTTTAAATTACATAAAAGGATAGTAGAAAGTTTTATTTTGAAAATATTATCTACGATTTGATTGCAATCATTATATAGATTTGGTCAATGATTAACAATATTATTGCATTATAATAGATCTATAGTAAAAGTATTAATTTTTACAGCAATATATTATGCCGTATTTTACCTAAAATTATTAGATAACCCCAACCCCCCAATAAATTTAACCTACCTCCCTTAAAGGCATATACCCTCTACCCAGTGGCGTAGCTACGGGGGGGGGGGTTTCGGGTTTGGACCCCCCCCCCCAGAGCAATTATTTTTTTTTTTTTTAGAATATTCGTTTAAAAGACTCAAAAGTGACTTTATATCAAATAAATACCATGAATATTTATATTTTTCTGGTTTTGATGTTTGTGGAAGGATATTATTACTTTTAATTTTAAATATATATATATAAATTATTCTGTATATTATTTTAAAGTCATTGATAATAATCTATTAATTTTAATAATATATTATTGATGCATTTTTAAAAAAATATTTATTATAAATTATCCAAGATATGGTTCGAAAATAATAATATGAAATAAAAAAGTGCATAATCTACCCACCCCCCTCAGAGCAATTTTTTAGATTATTCGTTCAAAAGATTCAAAAGTGACTTTATATCAAATAAATACCATGAATATTTATATTTTTCTGGTTTTGATGTTTGTGGAAGGATATTATTACTTTTATATATATAAAAATTATTCTGTATATTATTTTAAAGTCATTGATAATAATCTAATAAATTATAATAATATATTATTTATGCATATTTAAAAAAATATTTATTATAAATTATCCAAGATATGGTTCGAAAATAATAATATGAAATAAAAAAGTGCATAATCTACCCCCCCCCCCCCCCCTCAGAGCAATTTTTTTAGATTATTCGTTCAAAAGACTCAAAAGTGACTTTATATCAAATAAATACCATGAATATTTATATTTTTCTGGTTTTGATGTTTGTGGAAGGATATTATTACTTTTATATATATAAAAATTATTCTGTATATTATTTTAAAGTCATTGATAATAATCTAATAAATTATAATAATATATTATTTATGCATATTTAAAAAAATATTTATTATAATTTATCGAAGATATGGTTCGAAAATAATAATATGAAATAAAATAGTGCATAATCTACTTTCTCATGCTTTTGAGGTTAAAAAATATTTAATCCAGTGTACTAATTAATATCTTATGCATTATAGGCTCTATTGAAAATAATAAGGATGATGTAAATACACCAGGTCAAAATAACATTTAATATAAAAAATATTAAAAATTAATAGCTAACTATTTTTATTTTAGAATTTAAAATTAAACACCTAGTCATAGTTTTAACTAAATTAAAATTGCCAGTACAAACCACTTTGGGTAATTTATTATTTTAAATAATTTTGGCTAACCAAAATATTTTGACATTTATAAGATATACCCAAACGTAGGAGGGAAGAAAATGATCTTGATACACTCATTTATATACCCAAAGACCATATAAAATCACTACCTAGTACAAGTAATATAATCTATTAAGATTTAAATATTTTTTATTATAGATTTAGATATATCAAGTATTACATTTAATAAAAATGATGATAGTCAACAAAATGAACACACCAAATCACTAATTAATATAGAAAATCAAAATTTTAATGATGAACTTGATATCATAAGCAACAATTTACCACCCACATCAGGTATTTTATAATGACCTTATTTAAATGAATCACTAATTAATATAGAAAATCAAAATTTTAATGATGAACTTGATACCATAAGCAACAATTTACCACCAACATCAGGTATTTTATAATGACCTTATTTAAATGAATCACCAATTAATATAGAAAATCAGAATTTTAATGATGAACTTGATACCATAAGCAACAATTTACCACTCACCTCAGGTATTTTATGAACTTATATGACCTTATTTAAATGTATTCATTTAAATTTTAGAAATACCTAGATACTCTATAAAAAATTATGATAAAAATAAGCTAAATACACTTGATCACTTCAAATCTCTACCTATTAAAAGTAATGTTAACTATTACCTTTAAATATTTATATCATAATTTTAGGTATATCAAGTATCACATTGAAGAAGAATGATAGTAGTCAACAAAATATTATAGGCTGTATCAATTTAGAATTTAAATGTTAATATGTTGTTTTATTTTAATTTATTTTTATAGGAATATCTCAATTAATATTCACACCAAGGGGTAAAAAAAATAGTGATAACAAACAAAAAAATACACTAAGTCACAACAAATCACTATCTAATAAATGTAATGTAATCAATTACTTATTAATATTTACATTAAAATTTTAGATATATAAAAAATCTAGGGAGAATTTAAATGGAAATGAAGTTCCACTCATGTCAGGTATTAGTCTTATTTAAATTATATTTTTAAAATCTTAGCAATTCCCACATACTCCAGAAAACTAAAGGATAATAGACAACCAATTATACTAGATCATTTAGAACCATCACCTACTACAAGTGATATAGTCTATTACTTTATACTTATAATAATCAAAAGTTGGTTCCAAAGCTAACATGTCATCTATGATTATTAGCCTAGGTTTCTCAATATTAATTTTAAACATCTATCATATATTGGTAAAAAAATATTGCCAACACAATTTTGATTTTTTCACTTTGAAGGATATCGACTTAAATTTACAGTTTAAAAAAAACATTTATTTTTTAATCTATAGTTTTAATGTGTTTACTAATTATAAAATATATCATTTATAATTAAGGCAATATAATATTTATAATTAAAGCAATTTATATGTGTAATACTAATATTTATAATTAAGGCAATATAATATTTATAATTAAAGCAATATAATATTTATAATTAAAGCAATATAATATTTATAATTAAAGCAATATAATATTTATAATTAAATCAATATAATATTTATATTTTAAATAATCGCTTTTTATTTGTAAATAACTTCTAAAAGTATAATAAAATGAAACGTATATCAATAAAATTGTGTCAATGTGTTATTTTAATTAAAATTAGTGGCTCAATTTTAGCCGATATGGCTAACTCAATATATTAGCCAGAAAATTTTGCTCATGGAGATACAAGTTTTATATTATTCGAGAAATCTCTAGGCTTGAACAATATTTTTTGGCAAAAATATTGAGTTAGCTGTTTATAAAAATCAGCTCAAGTCGAGCCGTTTAACAACACTAATTAAAATAATTAATAATTCTAGGACTTTTATATTATAAGAAAAACCAATATGATTTTTAAGATAAACCCGGCCGAAGGCCGGGCAAAAGGGCCGAAGGCCTGTAAAAGGGGGTCTGGGGGGCGAAGCCCCCAGGCTTTTATATATGGACCCCCTCTAAGGAAAATTCCTAGCTACGCCACTGCCTCTACCCCTTTAAAAAAATGGATGTAAACTATTCTTACCCCCCCCCCCCCCTCCGATCCAACCCATTCATGTAGACGCTGTATTTATATACTAATATTATTATTATATATTATCGTTGAAATCATCTAATCGAGTTAAAATAATCTTATCAATACCATATGAAAAGATAAAAGAAAAATCAGATGATCTGTATAATTAATTCTTGTCTTTTTTTCTCTAAAATATTTAATCAAAACGTTCATAAATATCAATTACTAATTGACAGATACAATATTATACACTTTTCCTATTCTAGATCTTTTAAAATTAATATGTACTTTAAAATATCATTATTAAATAATGATATATATTTTTAATATAACTTCCTTGAATGCCAATGCAGTAATTTAATGTTATTGATCCATTTCGATATCTATTTAAAAATTAAAAAATTATTTTGTACATTTTAATCGTTGACTTTAATAGACCAATCATTGACAATTTATGATCACAATAGCATATAAATCATATGGTATATTTAAAATTTAGAGCGAAATGTCTAAATTAATAATAAAACTATTATTTAGTAAAGTACTTTATATTATTATTATCTTTTTTTATTTTTTAATTACAAGATAGCATGTCCCATATCTAATTTACCTAGCAATATTAATATTTGTCTTAGAATAAAGTTATTTTTACAAACAATATGGTCTAATTACTATAATTCAACCTTTCCTATAACATTAAATGAAACGTTTACTTTCGAGAAAGTATAATAAAGTCTTGATTAATCAATTAAAAATATTTTTAGGCAATTAATATAACCTTTGAAGAATTTATTTATAAATTAAATGGTATAATTTTTTATATAATGTATTAAAAATTAATATTATTTTAGATGAAATAATTACAATAGAATTGTTGCAATTTTCGGAATTCTCCAAAACAGCTTTGATTATAGCTGAATATAAAAATTTTCTCTACAACTTTTTATTCCCATTTCCTATTGCTTGTAAGGTATCAGCAGCTATAGAAAAATCAAGAAAACATCAAAATGATCCTAAATTTATGTTAAGAAATTTATTAGAACAATATTTTACTTTAAAAAAATTTTATCCAAACATCATATACATGGAAAACAGGAATGGATTTCTGGTATAATTCTTACGATTTAGAAATAAAATAAAATTTATATCAGAAAGTTCATCCAAAATTAGAACATGAGATATTTATTCAATTTGTGAATGAGAATGATCATAATAACTATAATTCAGATCAAACTGTCAAAGTTATAAATATACAAAAATCAAAGGTATACTTATTTTTTTAAAATTAAAATTATATTTATAATAATTAAGAAAAAATTAAACCAAATAACCCCCAAATCATCGATCCTCAAAATTCACTCATTGAAGAGACCACCTATGTTAAATTATTTGAAATCACCCAAAACCCCATTTAAATCAAAGTATAAATTGATATGAGATTATCTTTATATTAGTTTTTTTGTTGCTGCTAAAAATGAAAATATATTATTGATAGGCATAATCATCATTTTTCAACTAAAGATTTGGAGCATTACCCCCTATCATTCTTTTTTTATTCACCTTTTACAAACTTTTTTCTGGCCTTCAGTCAGATTTTGGGTGAGAAAATTCATGATAATTTTTATTGAAGTAATTTTTCCATTGGAATTTTAGTAATATACAAAAATTTATGGGAATCAATTATATTGCTTTAACAACCAACAATTCTATAATTTTATACTATATTTAATTATATTTAAGTAACAACATATAAATTATAACTCTTTCAACACCATTATTTGGACCTAATCTATTATTTATAGATTGTGTATTTGAACGTGATTTATTAAGTATAAGTTATGCCAAATTCATACTAGCATTTCTACATTTTTATTTCCTAACTTTTCTCTTGGCTTAGAATGTGTTTCCAAAAATTGAACACATACATTCTGATGAAACACAATGAGGTAAAAATTTTTGGGCAATCCATAGCTTTCCACCATATTATTGGAGCAAGATATCTTACTCCATCTTAAAATTTCAGAGTTCCAATAAAAACCATCTTTGGCTTGATATTCACTTATTTTTTCAATAATCAAACCAGCCACTATAACTTAAAAAAATTAGAAAAAGATTTTATTATTGAAATCCCATGACCAATCTCAATATCATCATGGTTATCCCCCATAAATTTGGTATTCAGTAGATTTACAGAAAAATGGATCTCCTTGCAACAGAATTCTTTTCTCTTTGAATAAATGTTCCTTTTCTGTATATTATCAACAGATTTTTTAAATATTAAGCATTGCTTCAGTTACTTCAAAATGTGTTTCTTATAGTAAAATTTCTGCATATATTAGTCTAATAATTTCTATCTTCTTTATTTGTCCCCAAAGGTTTTAAGGTTTTATCAAAAATATTATGGATTGCCATTGCATGTAAAATTTATACTCATTATCATTATAGTTGCACCACCCCATCGTTTTGGACTTGGCCATTTTGGTGTTGCATAACCTTGCCTCTCTTTTAGTTTTGCAGAAAATAAAATTATTCTGAATTTATTTTTTTTTAAAACGTTTTAGCCTTTCTCTATATTTTTTATTCAATGAATCTATAGCCATTATATCTTTAATTTAATAAATTTAGTCATTGTGCCGCATACACAATGTTGCAAATGGGCATGGATTTACTTATTTATAATGATTTTTTAAAAAAAAACATTTAAAGTATTAGAATTTTGGGAATATACTCTTTCCCATTCAATAAATTCCCATGGAATATCCACTGGAATGCCCGGGTTTAACCACCCCTACTCAGATTACATTTATATTTTTAGATGTTAATTTTTTATTATATTTTATGGATAATCTAAACTTTTTCTCAAAAAAATATATAATTTTAATAATTATTTATAGAATATTATACAATAATAAACCCTATAAACTCACTGCCAATTCAAAACTCAAAAACAAAATATAAATGTTGGAATAAAGAGAAAATTGAAATAGTAAACAAAATTGTTCTCCCAGTGGAAAGAAATGAAAATAAAAGGATATTTGCTTAATATATTAATATGGTGAATATCCTCGATAAACAAATTAAGGCAAGAAACCTTTCCAGAATTTATAGGGGGACCATTGAAGTGATACCAAATCCTAAAAAAGGAATGTACAAAAAAAAGATAAATCCAAAATCATAAAATAGGTGATAAATCTTTTAATGGATGACAACATGTCTACTATCAAAGATAAAGGAAATTTGCCTCCTCCATGTTTCCCCAAAAATATATTTAAATAAATAAGATAGCCCGATCGACGAAATACACCGGGAGCAGTTCTTATTCGCCAGACTCACTGCCTTAAAATGCCACCTTTCTTTCGATTTCGGATGTATTTTTTTATTTTGCATCCCTTTTTTTAGGATTTGGTATTGCTTCAATGGTCCCTCTTATAAATTATAAATTCTGGAAAGGTCCTCTTGTCTTAATTTGTTTACAGAGGCTATTGACCATAACAATATGTTTAGCAAATATCCTTTTATTTCCATTTCAGTGATGGGATAACAATTTTGTTTAACTATTTTTTAATTTTCTCTTTATTCCTACAATTAAATTTTCTTTTTTTGGGTTTTGAATTGGCGGTGAGTTTGTAGGGTTTTTTATTGTAGAATTGGCACTCATGGCAGATCGCAAAAATGCTGGAATGGAAAAAGAATGATTAGATTAAAACGAATTATTTAATATTGATGATTGAATACGTGGTGGGGAATATTTTGATTAATAAATAAAGGGGAATTTTTCTAAAACTATCATTGGTATTATTATTGGATAATAAAATATATTATTAATATTAAAAACATCTTTAAATTTAAAAAAAAAATTATTATTTAGTAATTAAAAAGTTTTACGAAAATTTTTTTATTTTAATTAATATCTTCTATTACATGAATGAGGTATAATTCTAATTTTTTTTAAGACTTTTTAAACTTGTTTATTATACCACTTAATGGTCCTTGTTATTAACGTATTACCAAATAAAACACCTGTAACCCTGTATAAGAGTCAGAGATTTGACCAAGCCTGGCCCAGGCCCCCAGTAAAAAAATTTTTTTGGCCTAATCCCGGCCGTATTTAATTTTAAAAAAATATATTTTGCCAAGAGGGGATTACTTTTCATTTTTATTTCTAATCGATTCAACATGAATACTACAAAAGGATTAATAATTATTCATCGAGTTTTAAAAAATTTTTTTGAATAACAAAATATTAATTTTTCTAACAAAGATTTCAAAACGTAGCCAGCAGATTCAAGTGTCCCCAAAAATGCAAGTGCGAAAAATGCTTAAAACCAAACGCGATAGATCAGAACGTTGTTCGTTATAATGATAAAAAGCAACCAATCTATAAAAATAAGAATTCGGGTAAAATATAAAATATCATAAAAATTTTTAATAAGCCACACATTGCATAATTTATGTTCTTGTTCTGGTAAACTTTTAAGGTTATATAATAACCTAGTTCAAATCAGCATGGTTTTTTTTTCTGGAAACCTTTCGTTTTTCGATTTTGACTTGGATTGCTAACATTTTTTTACAAAATTTAAAATGGATTTAAATTCAAAATTTGCATTAATAAAAAAAATGTTTTAAAAATGGCATATACAATGAAAGATTTACCGTCCAGTTGGCTGCTCCCATATATTTGAAATACAATTTTTCAGGATCCTATGGTTAAGCTTTTCATCCACATCCCATTTTCCTTTCTATCCTCCATTTAGGCTTCATTCTTCAATCCTCCGATAAGGAAATTATGTTACACAATCATCTACCCGAAATCCCCTCCTCCCATCATCATCTCTTTGCATCCCTTTTTATATGCAAGTTGTCAGCAAAACCTTTGATTTATTGTTTACTACTTAGTAGACCCCATTCAGAAATGAATCCGATTCACATAATAATTTGACCAATTATTTGAATAAAACAAACAATTTTATATTCGTTACTATATTGGATTTGATTAGTATCATTAAATCGAATATTGAATTCGGTTTTAAATAGGTAGCTATCAATTTTTTTATAATAAATGCTTCTTAGACTTTTATCTGAACCTTTAAACAAAAGTCCTTTCCACACTCCAACCCGTAGTTTAGGGAAATGCAGTATTGCCTAATTGAGCCGGTGAAAGGAGCATGCCTTCATATAGTTTACAGAGGTTGGGAGTTATCTAAATTTTGTGGCATAAAGCTAGGCCTCGGTTCAATGATTCTATTATTTTCGGCCAATGGTCCAGTTTATACTGTATCATTGAACCGACCAATTAAAAATGAATATATAGGGCTAGGTGAGGTCTTTAAAAACTTGAAGTATGGTACGCTCTAATCTGGACCCGTAATCTTCACCACCTATTGGCCTCAACTTTGGAAGTTATTCCTTTTTTTCGAAATGCTTTTCTATGATATACTCAACAATCAAACGTTGTTTGAACCTTTCTCGTTCATTCCCGCTAACCTCAATTCAGATGTTATTAAATCATTCTCATATTTTTTTAAAAAGCATGTTGAATATAATAATCATCCCCTTTTTCTAAAGCCTTGCCCTTCTCTGTAGCTTTTGGTTCCAACAGGATGTGGCACATTATAATTTCTTCAATAATATGCTCGATTTATTCATTTTATTATTTTTTTAGCACCTGAAAAATTTGTTTCTGGCACAAAACTCTAATAACCATTCATCTACAATTTCATTCCTATTTTATCTCCACAGGAAACACACTTTCTGCTTTATGCACACAGACACCACCCTCAATCTTCCTGTTAATCTCCTTAATATTCCCCTTACTAACAATCTCTCCTGCTCACACCACAGCTTTTTTTATCCTCACCTGATGTTAGTTTAGCCAAGTCTAGGACTGTCATATTTCCCCATTTTTTTATGATGGCAAATGAGGGAATTCGCGGCGTTTGTTTGCTTGTATATCATTTAGAATTATTTTTCTCCCTCAGATACTCTTTCACTATTTGTAGTCTTCTAGTACCTAATGGAACAATAATCATATTTATTCCTGGCCGAGAGAATCTTTTAAATCTTCAATAGTCTTCTAGAAATATTTTCAACTTCCCGCATTATTGTAGAAGATAGAATTATCTAGTATAATCATGTTAAAGTAAATTGACTGGACCATACTACAGGAAACTGGCATCCTTAGAGACATTTCAACTTTACAGCTGTGTCGATGCAGAAGACATGATTATCAAGGAAAAATTATTTTTAAGTGACAGGTTAATAGCTACTTTTTAAATTATAGCAAACACCAGGGGAAATGAGATATATATTTTTATTTCCTTCAAACGAATTTTAAAAAAAATTGTGAAATTTAGCATTAGACTCATGGAACAAAACCCTGGCCATCATCAGGCCTTGGCCCAAATGTTAAATTCAATTATTTAAACCAACTATAAATAAATTTTTAATATAACCACCAGCTGTTCATAACACCGTTCAACTATGAGTTTTAGAAGAAGAAAAAATAACTATTTACAAACAACAAAGATTTTATATTTAAATATTATATTAAAAGAAAAATATGCAAACTCAAAGATATTAATAAATGTTTAATAATAGTTCCAACTCCTTCAACAAAAAAAGTAACGAAAAAGGTGAGTTGGGCCAATTTGGTCGATGATTCAAATGACTTAAAAATTGCTGGCCCTGACGATGTCTTCAAGAGCGAACAAAAGGATGAAGTTGAAGAGATGGAAGGTTTGCGATATAAAGTTTTAAATCATTTTGCACTATACAAAAAAAATGCATAAATTATTCTGCTTATGGAGGGGGGGGGAAGAAGTTAGTATTTTTCACTCCCAATCTAAAATATATAAGTGTCTTAAGTATAAATGTATTTTACATGCTATGCATTGTCACGATAGAACCGCACGACGAAAGATTTTGTGACATCTGCCCATTATTCAGGAGATACACGTTAAAACCGTACTGGGCTCATCACGTAAATCATCGTAGTAACGAAAGACGATACCTTTCGCAAGACCCGAGTCTTTTTAAGGAGGTAATAATTAATAATTTGTTTTTATTTTATTTTCTTATCATTACCTTTTCATTTCATTTATTTGTTTTCCCTCTATTTCTTTTTATTCCTGTCCAGAGCTTATAGTTTATTAAATTATAATAATCATTTTTCTGACAATTCTTAATTCCGCCGGAACCTTATTAAACAAAATTGTAACAGCTGATCAATCATAGCCATTTTGCATATTACAGTTATGACATTAAAATAACTGGTCAATCGTAAGATTTTTTTAAATGTAAATTATATTGTTTTAAAAATGGATGCGCGATTTTATAGAAAGGTTTATTTATCGTTTAATATTTTTTTATAAATCGGGTGGTCCGGGCCCAGCGTTTTTTTGGAACCGAAATCTGAAAAAACAAAAAAAATGTTAAATAATTTTCCTTGAACAATAAATTCGATGGTTAACAGGAAACGTTAAACGAACACGCCTTCCCAGACCGAGGGCTTCTTCCAGATGTTCACAACGAAGGATACACCTCGACTCTTTCCAAAAATATTTCCTTGTTATCCAAGTATATATATATATTTATAAATATATAAATAAGTTTGACAGAAAATGCTAAATTTTTTTGTGTTGCTGGAATTTAGTGTTGTTAAAACGACGCGATTTGAGCCGATTTTTTTATAACGGTAAACTCAGTATAAAAATAAGAAAAAGATCGCCTAAGCATCGAGATTTCGTTAAAAGCTGTCTAAACCTTCGGGCCATCTACGAGCAACATCTTTAGGTTTGTTACGAAATTTTTTTCTGGATAAAATATTGAGTTAGCCGCTTGCTCAAATCGAGCCTTTTAAACAACACTATCTGGAATATTTATTACTTAATATATATAACTTAAAGTAAACCGGTTTTTTTATCATTAAGAAAATAAGTTTCTTTTGTATATCGATATTTTTTTTAATTATATGATTTGTGCTGGAATTTATAAAAAATTTTTGTCCAAAATATTATCAAAGTCTGTCACCGACAACTATGAAAAGGGCAGAATTGCATAGATTGATGAAAGAAATCGAAGATTCGTAATATATACTTTCGCGGAATATATATTTTTTTCTTTTCTATAATTTATGTGTTACCGGAAAACGAAAATTAAGTTATGTATTGTACTATACGAATATAATGTTAGGAATTTGAATGTATCTAACTATATGATTGTTCAATTCAAATGTATTTTTTATCCTCATATCTTACGACGGAGCCCGGAGAAGTCGGGCCAGGCCTGGATTAAAAATATAAGAATTTCGAATAAATAACATTATAAATTGATGTTTATGTATGTTAGCGTGCGTCAATGTGTTTTTTCAACTTTAAATCATTTTTTGAGCGCTTTTTAAAAATATCTGATTTCATCAGAAATGTAATTTGCATTTTTGCTAGCTTTAGCGCTTATAATTTATTTTTTCCTAATAAGTTTACTTGATTATTCCTTGAAGTCAGCTTTGAGATTTATTCTCACAATCTTTTTATAACTAAGTTTTTTTCTTTTCTATCTGTTTCTTTTTCTTTGAAATATTCTTTCCATAGTTTTTTTTTTCTCGCACGGATAAAAATGTAAAAACCAAAAATAATATAAAACTTTAAAAAATAAATAATTTTAAGAAAAACATCGTTGGGTTCCTAAAAAGGGAACAATAGTTAAAATGTAAAAATATTGATATGCATGTTCTGTCTAAAGGAATAGGAATTTTTTATTGCGATTTAATATTATGAGCTAAATTTAATTTAAAAAATTTTTTTAGTTATAGGAACGAACTGTCCGATGTTGCTATTGGTGAGAATACGAAATTGCCGAGGCTTTTGTATTTATATATTATTTTAATCTCTGCTTTAGTAAGCAGGTTGCTATTATTATTAGCGGGGAAGGATGAGACACAGTACAATCCCAAATTTATTGATTTGCCCATGGCCCAAGTGGATAGTGGTCCAAATTAGCTTAAAAATTTTTACCCTAAGTTGTTTAATCTTAATTTTTTAAAAATATAATATGATTATTGTTATATATTTTTTTCCCCCTAATTTTATTTCACTTTTTTTCCCCTTGATATTTTATTAACTTTTTTTTCCCTTGAAACATTTTCTCCATAATTTTTTTTTCTTCTTATTTTCCTCTTGATCGATTTTTCTTAAATGATATTTTCAGTAATGTTGTTAAACGGCTCATTTTAAGCCGATTTTTTAAAACGGCTAACTCAATATTTTAGACAGAAAAATATTGCTATAAGCTTCGAGATTTCGAGAATATATGCCTAGACCTTTGTTCCTTCTATGAGCAAAATCTTTAGGCCTGCGTAATGTTTTTCTGAAATATTGAGTTAGCCGTTTTTAAAAATCGGCTCAAAACGAGCCGTTTAACAACACTACTTTTCAGGCATTTTCTATTTGTGTTTTTAATATTGAAAAGCACCCTTTCTTTCACTTTCTCTTTCTTTTTTTCTTTCTTCCTTCCTTCCTTCCTTCCTTCCTTCCTTCCTTCCTTCCTTCCTTCCTTCCTTCCTTCCTTCCTTCCTTCCTTCCTTCCTTCCTTCCTTCCTTCCTTCCTTCCTTCCTTCCTTCCTTCCTTCCTTCCTTCCTTCCTTCCTTCCTTCCTTCCTTCCTTTCTTTAAATATATAATTTATATTACGAATTAAATAAAAGTATTTATATAATAAATAATATATTTTATAAAAAATTAATATACCATGTTTTTTTTATTAAAAAAATGGCTAAAAAATAACTCATTTTTATAAGAATCGAGGAAATGTTTTCTCATCTTCTTAAAATTGTAGTAATTAATAGGCACGGGACAAATATTTATGTTCTTTGGTCCAAATCATGTTAAGTCAACTAAGTAATGCCACCATATATTCGTGTAATTAAGTGACAAAGTTCTCTTAGGCATAATTCCAGTCCAAAATGTGTCCTCATTGGGAAAAGGGAGTATGGCAACACTCGAGAGATTTTTGGGGAAATTATCTCCGCTAATCTAGAACTCTAAATATATCCCCAACCAAAAGAAAACTTAAGGTCTAGTTCGTTCTCAAAATCGTCATCCATTTCATAAAATAAAATGTGTCTGGTTAGTTTTTAATGAAATAAGCTTGGACATAATTTTGAAGTTGATTCGAATATTATTATAATATAGAAAAACGTAAAATAAAATATCTAAAAATAAGTACAGATACCGCTAAAATAGTATCTAGATATAGATTCTTTTTATAAAAGTGTAACAGGATACATATGCCACATTTTTGGGTGAAAATAACTAGTAAAATGATATATAATATATTTTTTCACTAATTTAGAAAATAAAGCCCAATCCATTTATTAATAAAATTAGCAAAAGAAATGAGGGAAAATTCAATTTTAGAAGGAATTTTAAATATATCATTTTTATGGGCATAATATTCAATATTCGTATTCCATCATGAAAATCACAATATTTTCAAACTTTATAAATTTCTTATATTAACATTGCAATCCAAATAAATAAAAGATGAAAAGCAAATAAAATTTGAGAATTAAATTGAACATCCATTTTTTTTGAAAAAAAGATTTCCCCTTTCGTATCCTTAAGAAATCAATGAGGATTACAATCTCTTTCCCTATTCCACCACTCGGATATTTTGTAAGATTTGTTAGGGATATCCCCGAGATGCAAATGTTTACAGATTTGGCATAGATATTCATCATCTATTCTCGGTACTATAGCGTATTCCTTTCTCCAAGCGTGATACTCGCTATAAAGCGTGTCGTTTAAATCTAATTTTAATAGGTATTTAGCCAGTTCTATCGTATTGTTGAGATAAAAATAAGGGTGATTTTTTGGTATCTCTTGATTGTTAACTCTAGTCGATGAATCATCTTGAGATCGATTGCCTTATATAATTTGAAAAAAATACATTACATTATAGGTGTGCCGTAAGTAGTGTTGTTAAACGACTCTATTTGAGTCGATTTTTAAAAACGGCTAACTCATTATTTTATCCTGAATAATATTGCACAAACCTGAATAGTTTTCTCATAGATGACACAAAGGTCTAGACATTTGTTAGCAAAATTTCGAGGCTTAGAGGCAATATTTTTCTGGGTAAAATATTGAGCTAGCCGTTTAACAACACAAGTCGTAAGTTATGCGGTTATTCGGAATACGAGAGGGTTAGAGATCTCGAAACTTAATGATTTTTGAGGAATTTGCAAGAAAAACTACGAAAAGAAAACCGCTACATTTAACATTAATAATTGTTTTTAAATAGCTTTAATTATATGTCTTATTTTTTTTGAAAAAAATAGATATTTTATTTTTTTAAATTAATTTTCAGAGTTGTCAAAAGATACTTTTTAAATGGATCTAGATACAGATACATCGTCTAAAATAATATCTAGATTAGAGACCTTCATGGGCCGGGCTTGGGCCTAATTATAAATTTTTTAGCGGGCTTGGGTTCGTTGGAAATTTTTGCAATAGGGCTTGGGCCTAAATTTTTAAATCCAAATTTAGCTTATTTTAAGGATATTTAATAGGATAAATATAACAAATCATTCTGATTTTATTAGTGTTATTTATCAAATTTCCTATACACCTTGGGAGAGTATATATTTTTTAAATCGGAAATTGGTATAATTTTACTTAACTTAACACAACGGCCTGAACACGAAACAGCGAAAATCAGGGAATATTCCCAAAAATGTTCCCAAAGATGGCCAAACTTCGAGGATTACTAGAGCTACCATTAATTTATTCTTTATAAATATTTTTAGCTATATAATATTTTTAGCTTCATTCTCATTATTGGATATGTCTTCACATGGGAGGATGATACAATTCATAATGAGACGGATGCTGATGAGATTAATTTATATATGGATATTCAGCTAAATGAAGAGGATATCAACTATGATGACTGCATCCTAGATTGGTGGAAGAAGCATGAAAAAATCTTGCCAAAATTGGCAAGATTAGCCAAAAAAATTCATGCAATTCCAGCATCTAATGTTTCCAGTGAACGGAATTTCAGTACTATTGGAAGGGTTATTGAAGAAGAACAAATTTAAATAACGAAATTGTAGATAATATATTATTTTTAAATGATAATTTGAAAATATAAATTAAAATTTTGTTTATATCATTTATTAATATTATATATATATATATTATTAGTAAATAAAATATTATATTTCTATTAGTATTACTTCAGCATAAGTTAAGTATACATAAAATAATTTTATGGGCTTGGGCCGGGCTTGGGAAAATTTTTAAATATTATAGCGGGCTTGGGCCAGGCTTTGGAATTTTTTTAAATATTAAAAACGGGCCCGGCCGGGCCTGGGCTTAAAATTTTTTTTTACGATTGGCCTGGGTCAGGCTTGGTCCTAAAAACTAGGCCCATGAAGGTCTCTAATCTAGATACAGATATTTTAATCAAAAATCTATCTAGATACAGATATTTTAATCAAAAATCTATCTAGATACAGATACCACATTTTTATATCTAGATACAGGATCTAGGAGATATCACATTTTTATATCTAGAAGATACCACATTTTTATATCTAGATACAGGATCTAGAAGATACCACATTTTTATATCTAGATCCTTTAACAACTCTGTTAATTTTTATTTAATTGTATCATAAACCAATTTTAATAAATTAAGTAAATTGTTCTATAAATGAAAAAAATATGGGATATTACCTTATTCTTGAATCGCAATTTAACTTTTTATTGGAAATAAAAAACAAATACCAATTTTCAAAATTCTTATGGATAGAAGAAAGGATTCACTAAAATTTTAAATGTTCCTTTAATAAATATAACATATTTTTTGATATAAGCTTGAATTAATTTGAAACAAATATAAATTCCTCATAAAAAACTTCTTGTTTTACTCCCTGTGGTTAAAATTATTTTTCAATTTTTCTTTTAGTTAGAGCGAGGAAAGTTGAAATAAATATTCTGTCGGAGCCTGAAAATTATTTTTATTTTCTGAATTATGATGATGAGGCCATTTATTTTAGTTTGCCATTGCATACAATTTTAAATAGTAAAAGATAGGATATTAAAAGGGTAATGAAATACAAAAATAGAAACAAACATTTTAACCAACTCACTTTAAAAAAAACACTTAGAATCAGCATTTCCTAAAGACCGCATAGAAATCTAGAATAATTGCTAGTAATTACGATCCTCACATAAATTGCGACATATAAATAATATATGAAATAAATATAAAACTACCGATGACTCCATCCGTTTTCGTAGCCAAGGGCGAGGCCACGTAAATAAAAGAAAATGGGGGCGCTATCCTGACATATTCAGAATATCGAGCTCCAAACACTACGGGAACCGTGCCCGCGGAGAGCGCTCGGAACACTTTTTCTGTTATATAATGGGCGCAATTAGAGTTCTCGAACGCCAAATAAAATTTGTAACTGGAGATTAAGTTTTGCATGCAAACTTCTTTTACGGATTCATCTTTCGACTCGTCACAGATCCAAGAGCCATTGCCGGTGAATCGCTTAGAACATCCGCCAAGCACCTCAAGTCTACGAACTCGTTCGCTCTCTTTTGTACACGATAGAAAAAATATAATATGACTAGGAAAATTATTTTTAAGCATTTTTCTATAATTCTAAATAAATTTATTAAAAAATAAATTATTTTATGGTCTAAATTAAATTATAATTTTTATCTCTTTGTTTAAAAAATGTTTTACACCCGATTTCACCCAAGTTTGAACTGTCCATTAAATTCTAAGATTAATAAAGTAACTCCCCCTATTTCCTCTTATTATTAACCATGCCTGAACTTTGCATCATTTATGCACGCATGTTTAACAAAGTTTTAGAAAATAAAAGATAATTCTCATAGATATAGAGCTTATTATTCTCACAAAAAAATGGGGTTAATCTTTTTCAACTAGATAATATAAATATTCCGATTCTCATTTATGTTCATATACAGATACTCCTTATAAGTTACTTTACTGGGATTATTTGTCATACATTGGAAAGTTTTATACAATTAATGGGTTTAAAAGCTTACAATCCTGACCTATGAAGAAAATCAATTCATACATCTAAAATATATAAAAAAAATCTAATGGGATTCAATGTATTTGCAGTGTAATCAATCAGAGAAATCATCGAAAACGGTTATATCATCGACAAATTATTTTAAGAAAAAATTAAAATAAGAAAACGAAATCTCTAGAAAAAATAATATTTATTATACTTTTTACATATAAGTTGAAGTTACAAAGAAAAAATCATCATTTTTTAAGTAGCCGGTTTGGCTAAGATGTCACAGATCTCTGAACTAGGAAATAGGTAACTATTTTGATCTCAGTTCGATCGCAACCCCTTTAAGTATTAAGGTGGCAATTATTTTTTTATTTATACTTACATGATAAAATTATCAGTATTATTGTAGCTTTTCATTCTTTAATTAAATAAATTTAATACTGTACATTGTTTTATAATAAAATATATTTATGTTTATATCATGATTAAAAAACATAAATAATATGCTAAAATATCGTTTAACTCAAATTTTCGGAAAGAGCCCGAAATGTCATTTCCTCCTATATTTGTTTTTCTTATATATCCTAAAAATAAATTTCATATTGGCTTCAGGAAACTGCGTTCTCGCCCTTTCCTATTACGACCCTCATGTGAATCCATAATTAAATTTTATGCATAAATTTAATTTTCTTGTTTGAATGCCAATATTTGCAATTTATGATGGTTGTGGACCAAATTGGGCGAATCGGTGTATATATTATAAATATTAAAAATAAAGATATACTGTTATTTTGGATTGAAGAGATATGATCCTGGATTTCTTTGATATAAGCTAAAACATAATTTTTTTTTAAATTGAATATATTATAGTGAATTTTTTTTTAGCAATATAAAAAATTTTGTCATTCTTAAATTAAATTTGAAAAATAAATCTTCAACGATTTTTTAAAGTATTTTTTGGCCCAAGATTTCGCCTAAAGTTTCACCTAAAAGGTCACAAAAAGTGCCAAAGCGTGTCCAAAGGAACTAATTTAATAAAAAAAAATACTCAAAATGTATAATAAATAGGAAAATTTAGTTTAGAAAAATTTAATAATAAATGAGCATTAATGTAAGCAAATTAACAAATGCTATTTAGCCTGGGACAAAGGACCAAAAAGCAAATACTCAAGTTAAATGAGCTAAAGTATAATCAGGGACCCGGAGTGAACTCTAATAAATCTCGAAACAAAACCATTATAAATATATGAACCGCAAAGTAACTGAACCAATATAAATTTTTTGAAGGAATTAAAAGAACCATTATATAAGTGAAGTTGAATTGGTTTCAACCAAAAATAAAAAAATGGAGAATTTTCGAATACGATGATATCATTTAAATAATTGTCAGAATTTCTGTAAATGATCAATAATAAAAATTTTATTTAAATAGTGGTATATATACGTTAGCGTCAATAACGTTTTTTTTCCGGCAATGTGCTATTTTTTCAACTTTAAATCATTTTTTTTTGATCGCGTTTTTTTTTTAAATTTAAAAATCTGATTTTACCGGAAATGTGTGCCTTCATGGAATACCTATCTTAAGAATTGTAGACAATTTTGATGTTAACCTTTAAATCATTTGTAATTTATATATAAAAAAAATAAATGGAGAGTCTAATATAAATTATATCAAGTTTAAAAGTTCATTAAAAATAAAATTATCTGAAATTCACAGCATACATTTCCGGTGAAATCAGATTTTTAAATTTCTTAAAAAAAAACGCGCTCAAAAAATGATTTAAAGTTGAAAAAAAATAAACACATTGGCGCCAACAAATATACTATAAAAAATGCAAAAATTATTCGTCATTGGTTTGTATTTAAATAAATACTATTTTCGAATTTTTTAGGTATTTAGTATTTCCTCTCTACAGAAACTTCCTAAATAGCATAATGAATACAACAACCTCCCCCCCCCCCTTTTTTTTAAAAAAAAAATAAAATATAATACACTTACTAAGTCGATAATTATTTGCCATGCAATTGCTTATAACACTGACAGCCAAATCTTTTTTGTCTTTCGAATAGGTTTTGTAACTGTTGGAAACCTTGGATTTCAATTTTATAAATTCGAATTTCAGAAAGCTGTAGTATGGTTTGGTGATATCCGATTCGGGTAAATAGGTGACGGTCCAGTTGAAGACGTAATCGTATTTCTCCAAATTGCAAATTTCCTCCGGATTAATTGAGCAAGTCAGAATAGGTGATTCCTAACCATTTTATATATATTTATATTTATATGTTTGTAAAAGAATATAATTATATAAAAAATTTTGCCCATACCTATGATGATAAATAAAATAACTCGAATAAATCGAACGAATGAGTTTGTGATGATCATCAGTCTTTGACAATTAACATTGACATTAGTAAATTAATTTTTTGTCACAAAGTTTTACCTACAATAATTAGCCTTTGTATTCGCAGGCAATAGTGTTGATAAAAGGTTCGATTTTTAAAAACGGGTAAACCCAATATTTTAGCCAAAAATATCGCGCAAGGCTGGAGATTTTGCTCCTCATAAGATGTTAGAAATGTTTGAACATCTATTAACGAATTCTCGAGACTTCATAACATTTTTTTTTGGCTAAAAATATTGAGTTAGCTGTTTTTAGGAATGGAGCCGATTAACAATCCTACATAAAATACGCGAATATTTTGCCTAAGATAACGTCGCTTTGTATTATTGTAAGCTAAGGGAAAGGTTTTAAATATATACAAATAAATGGAATTTGAATATCGTCGGTCCAGAATTGGAGTGCGCTTCACGTGCCAAATTATGAAATACTATTTTAAAGTACAAGATTTAAATATGTAGTAAAAATTTATATATATATCTATATAAATAAAAAATTGAGAGGTAATTCATTAAATTTTAAATGATGGCATATAAAAATTTTATGCGAGCATATTTATTCGCCGAAATCCAAATGCAATTGGGTCAAATTTGGTGCTGTTAAACAGCCCTATGCCTGACTAAGATTTTAGCCATAAAAATTATCCTCTAGATTTGACGAATTTAGGTTAAAACCTGCCATCTTTGAGCAGAATCTCCAGGTGTACATAATATTATTTTGGCTAATGGTTCTCTTTTAAAATAGATTCAAACCAGGCCGTTTAACAATACTAATCAAATTAAACACTTTAGGAATTATTACAATATTGGTGTATTTTATTTATGTACAATTAATTATTATAAATTCAAAATAAACCTTTCAGTATAACTATACTTATAAATCATCAAAGTTATATAAAATTTTAACGCACAATCTCTATTTAATTCAAACTTATTTCTTAGAAATAATATCTTGGCTGAATGAAAAGTCATTTCAATTATTTAATAGTATTTTTTTATTTTATTTTTACCATGCATTTTATTAGAGTATTTTTTTTTTCTTTTCTTTTCTTTTATTTTAAAATTTAAAAAATAAAAAAGGTTGTAAGTAAAATGATAAAAAAATTAGCTTAAACAAATCGATTTTTGATTTGTATATTTAGAGATTAATCAATTGAATTTCACACCTGACTCAAAAATAGTAAAAGATTGCCAAGTGCACCATTCCAATTCTCCCGACGGATTAAATTAATATATATATATTATCATAAAGTAAAAATATCAAAATTTGTTTTTTGTTTTTGACTACCATCATATAAAATATCCATATTTGATTAGCCAAAACATTACTATTTTTATATTGGAGATTAATCAATTAAATTTCGCACCTGACTCAAAAATAGTAAAGATTGCCAAGTGCCAAGTGGAACACTTCAATTCTGGTACGACGGTTTAAATTAATATCAGTATATATTATCATAAAGTAAAAATATCGAAATTTGTTTTTTGTTTTTGATTACCATCATATAAAATATCCATATTTGATTAGCCAAAACTTACTATTTTTTTATTGGAGATTAATCAATTAAATTTCGCACCTGACTCAAAAATAGTAAAGATTGCCAAGTGGAACACTTCAATTGTGGCCCGACGGATTAAATTAATATATATTCATAAAGTAAAAATATCAAAATTTATTTTTTGTTTTTTTTATTACCATCATATAAAATATCCATATTTAGCCAAAACATTACTATTTTTATATTGGAGATTAATCATTTAAATTTCGCACCTGAAGTTTGCCAAGTGTAATACTCCAATTCTTGTCCGACGGATTAAATTAATATATATATATCTATGTTATCATAAAGTTAAAATATCAAGATTTGTTTTTTTTTATTACCATCATATAAAATTTTCATATTTAGCCAAAACATTACTATTTTTATATTGGAGATTAATCAATTAAATTTCGCACCTGAAGATTGCCAAGTGTAATACTCCAATTCTTGTCCGACAGATTAAATTAATATATATATATCTATGTTATCATAAAGTTAAAATATCAAAAAAAATTTTTTTATTTATTTACCATCATATAAAATATCCATATTTGTTCATACGAACGATTTTTAAATGGCAAATCCTGGAATTCCATATCCCTTAAATGAAATATGAGGGCATCTGAATTTGACAAATAAGTTTTATTGTTCAAAATGGAGCACGATGAATATTTGCAATTTTTAAACGGGGCTCTTCCCATATTTTTAATATCCCACGTATCGTCACTGAAAAAGGGTGTCCATAGTAATACAATTTTAGTTTTATCAAACGTTATATCTGTTATTGTTGGAGATATGTCTGATTCATCGGGAAACCAATATTCTGGTAAATTATGTAACGTTTGATTAAGTATCGATTTGGAGATGTTGTAGTTTTCGTGTAATTTTTTGTAACTTAAAAAAACTTTTTCATTTTGAAAGACATATACCGTAAGAAATATTCCGATTAATATACAAAGGCCCTTTATTTTTTTAATTAAAATCCTTTTGTTAGTGAACAATCTATTTAGTATGGCGTAAAGGTTACTGTATAGTTTTTTGGCCATCTATCTAATAATAATAACTTTTTTTTAAGTTTAAAATTAGTATACAATTGGTAAAATATCCTTAAAAATTAATTTTTTTTTGTTTATTGTATGTTAAATTTTTCAATAAATGAATACCAAATAATTGTCCTACTTTTTCGTGGTATATTATTATATATTCAAAAAGAGCAAACGCGCTACTTAAGTCATCTCATGAAATTAATATGAAGTAACACGATATTTAATAAAATAATTTTATTTGATTAGTAAAATATAATGTAAATTTAAAAATATGTTTTTTAAAAAAAATTTCAAAATAGATGGTAAATTAAGTTTTCCGATTTCGCTCTTTTGCTAAGAAAATATATATTCCAATTTTACATTTTTTTTATATCACATTTATACAGCAGAAATAAATACAAAACTAATTTATTCTACCAAATAATAAAGATTTCAAATTTTCCCTGGTTCCCACAAAATTATTTGAAACTTTTTCACTATAAAAACTAAAGTTTAATAATTACAGAGTAATGACATCGATTTGATTTAGACTATGAGAAATAGATGAAAGCAAGTGTTTGTTAAATGGCTCGATTTCAGCCGCTTTTCAAAAAATTACTAACTCAATATTCTGGCCACAAAAGTAACCCTCAAGATTTCGCTAATAGATGTCCAAAACTTTGTGCCATTTATAGCGCGAATCTTCAGGTTTGAGCGATATTTTTCTGGATAAAATGCTAAATTACCCATTTTTTAACAAATAGGCACAAATCGAACCGTTTCACAGCACTACTGATTAGCACTACTTCTGAAAATAGAATACTGTGAAGAAAAATAAGCTCAATCCTAAAGAAGATTGAATACATATTTATAAATTTATAATACTCTACATACAATTATTTCATAAGTAAGTTTATATATATATATTACAAAATTCTAAAGAATGTTTTTATGAATCAATCTATTTTTCCACATTTTAAAAAAAAATAAAAATATAATTTAAATTTATATATCACATTTAAAATAATTAAAAAGTTAATATTTTTTTTTATGAAGATTTTTAACATATAATATTTTATCATAAATTTAAATTTTTGTATTAGAAATTGTCAATATTTTATAGTCAATAGTCCTAATAATTTTTATGAAACTTAAGATTATCTTGAATAACTCCTAGAATAATTCTAAAAAAATTTAATTTTCACCCCCTCCCCTTTCCCTATAGTAAATTCCTGCGTACGCGCCTGGGAGATAAGATTTAGAATAGAGTAAATGTTTCATATTAATATAACTAGTTACATTTCAAAATTAACTTTTAACAACACTAAAATTTATTAAATATTATATAATTGTAAAGATAGAAAGAAAGATTTAGGGTTTAAATAATTTTTATTTAGTTTATTTACATTTATATCCTTTAAAATATTAGAAGAAAAAAAATGTTAACTTTTACTATCATATTTCTTTAATTTTCAAAAATAAAAATAAACTTTTTTTTGTTTCCTTATATATAAAAAATATATTTGAAAATATGTTCCTTGACATACATTTGTACCTTCATGCATACTTTTTTTGGGCCCATATTTAGTTCTAATTTAATATTTATATATATTTTCTTAAGCATCTTATTTACAATCGATATAATATGAATCATGGCTTTCAATTATATTGCTTCCATCATCTAATAAAAACACTTATTTTAAAAGTAGGGTTTTCATTGACAAGCATTAAAAAATTGTTGCGTATCATTCTCATTGTCCTCTTAACAACATTTTTCTATTCAACCCTAAAATACATCAAAATGGAACCTTACTTAAAATCTCACCTCAATATTTATTCCGATCAATTTAAGATCAACTTTCAAAATTGGCAAAAATTATCCAATAACAACCTTTGTATGAATCGTGGTAAGTCTAATCGTTCTAGATGTCGCCAGAATATTAGCGGTACTGGCCAACAAATTAATTATTATGATAATACTGAATTAGAAGAAATTAGAAAGAGACCATATGAGTTCTTAGATGAAAACTCTAACACCAGTCTATATAAAAGATTCCCATTGTTAGATATTCCCAAGGCTTTCTTTATCCACAACGCCTCTGAATTATGTTCTGGCATGGGTTGGAGTTATGATTTTTCTTCTTATGGAAAATCTTCTCAAACGTATTTTTCTAATACTGATACCAATACCCGGAGCACTAATAGTTTTATCACCTCCTTATTCCAAAATTATATAAAAATAATAAATGATGGAATGAACATGTCTGAAAATAGAGAATATTTTAAAGATAAATATGACATTAATGATCAATATTATAAACCAATTAAACAAATGTCTCTAATCATAGGTATACTCAGCAAACCCGATGATTTTGAGGTAAGGCAAAAATTGAGAAAAATATGGGCATCATCTATATCTGCATATTTGAAATTAAGTTACTCCAATAGGGCCACTTATATCGGGAGTTATTTAACTTTCAATAATTCTCGTAACGAAACAGTTGTTTGTAAGGTTAAGGCTGTGTTTATTTTGGGAATTTTCGAACCAAAGATGGATATATCAGAAGAAATATTAGCAAAAATGTCTAAGACAAAACTGGATAGGTGGAATAACAATTGTAATAAGCAGAGAAAAGAAGTTCAGTTAGCTATAGACATCGAATCAATAGTGCATGGTGATATCATACAAGCTACTTTCGTCGAGAGTTACAAAAATTTATCTTATAAAACAGGCGCTCTTTTCAAATGGGTATCCACTTATTGCGACAATGCACAATTCTTACTTAAACTCGATGTCGACAATTACGCGAATTTAGATGTCTTAATGAGTGTGCTAGAAAATATAACTTCACCTAGTATAGAAATAGCAGCTAATTTTACTGAAGACAAAATCTTGAGTTCAGAGCATCAACCTTCATCAAAGAATACTTTAAATTCAAAATCACGAGTTATTCCTAAAGATAATAACGACCATAACAATTTGGGTAAAGATACCAATAGATTAACACCTCTAGTCGATGATTTGATGGAATTTCAAAGAAGTTTTTATTGCAATGTGTGGGATGCAATGGAAGTGGTACGTGAAGTAGACCATCCAAATTTCATTGATGTGAAGGACTTCAAAGAAGATATGTACCCTCGATATTGTAGTGGAATGGGTTACGTATTGAGTCCAAAGTTGGCAGGAATAATTTACCAAAAATCTCTCGAATGTTGTCTTGTGCCCTTTCCCAACGAAGATGCCTTTTGGACCGGAATCATCCCTAACAAGACATTGTCGCTTAATTACACAGATTTATATTCATATTATATTTATAAGGAAAGTGATTGGCATGGAGAAAGTTACATATTTCGATATTACGGTGAGGATTTTAGCTTGTTGAGAAAGCATTATTTCCTCAACACATATTTTTAATAAATTGAAGTTATTATTAAATTCAAATTTAATTAATATATTTTTCTTAGTTCAGTCAATTGTTTGACGTAAATAAGGTTAGGTAATTTAATCATTGTTTTATTTTATTAATGAAAGTAGATTATGTATAAAGGTGTGGATTAAGAATTGTTTAAAACCTTAAGGTGTAAGAAAAAGCGCAAGTCAACGATTGGGACATAGTTTCCCTTTCATATTAAAACTGCTATATTTCAGTAAAATTTCTGTATAATAAAGCTTTGATCATTTATTAATATAACTATTAATTGATTATAAATAATAAAAAATTTAAAGGTATATAATGATAAATAAAAAAAAAAATTTATGATTTTTTTTGTTAATATAAAAATAAAATGATAATTTGGCATCTGGATATGGCATATTTTACGGGCATTATTAAAACCTTGAAAAATCAAGGAAAATAAGGTGACAGAAAATATATGAAAAGAGACAAAAAGTACCCAAAATTTTTAAACTACACAAACGACACGCAAAAATAATTACTAAACCATAGTGTAAACATTTCTAAAAAAATCGAACGCGTTCGCGTTCAACGTTCATTGACAAAAATCGAACGCGTTCACGTTCAAGTTCATGTTCAAAAAAAAACGCGTTCACGTTCACGAACGCCTTCACGTTCATAAAACCGTTCAAAATTTTATGATAAATTTTTTTTAAAAAACTATATATTTTAGCCATGTTAAAAAATAATATAGTTTTATTTTGATAATATAATTATAAATAAAATAAAATATAGCGAATAAAAAGATATTTTTATTTATAAAAAAATTTTTCTTATTAAATTTTAATAACAATTGTTTTTAAAATATTTATCTGATAGACAGGAACACTTGGCAGTTAATACGGCATTAGCCTAAAAACGCGCTCTACAGGGGCAGATGAGGGGATTGCGGTATTATACTTAATAAACAACTCTTTTAACGTGGAGAATTAATTTAAAACATATTGTTTGTTATTTGCAAAAAATTGAGGTAAGTTATCCTCCTCCAATCCATTCTCTACTCTCGAAAAAGGATATCTTGAAATTAACGGTTCTCTAGGGTTTTCAAAGCCTTTTTTTTAATAACGCTATAAGTTTATTTTTAATAGGTTCGTTCTGTGGAAGTTTTATCTATGGCAATTGAAGTTTGAGCTGGATGTATAATTGCAGAAAGAACATATTGACCCTTATATATATGTTCAAATCTTTAAAAAAATAAAATATATATAATTAATTGAGAGTGATAGGTTTAATACCTTTATTAATCCCATTTAATACGGCGTCTATCAATGGCTGACCATATTTGAGGCCACTAATTTTTTTAATTTTAAAATAACTATCGTTATTGTTGGGGTCAAATATCCCAAATGCATTATTTCTTCAAATTTAATGATTTAACTTAGTTATATCATAAAAAATCAAATAATTAATATTAAAATCAAATGTCGTTTTAATTTGGAATCTGATTTTGACAATATAATACTTTTTGGCCATATTTTACACTTGGTAAGCATTGAATTAGTTCCTTCAATATAGGATGTTAATGTAAAACAATCATATTTGGCCATAGTAATGATGGATTAAATA